TTTTTTTTAAGGGAAGTATTTCAGCATTAAAACATATTTCAACATTAAAAACATTTAATTTGATGTTTTGGGAGGGGGAGAGAGGAGTCCTGCTGTTTTGTTATGCTTGTCTTTAAAACAATGCTTTCTCAAAGAGCAAGGAGTCTGGCATCAGAAAGCACTGGTAACCTTGATTTTTATTGACAGTTTCCAGTGCTGTGGATATAAAAGTTTGACAGAACTGGGACCTGTGTTTTAGCAGCTCTGGTGTTCTCTCTACTATATTTATGCAACAACTTAGCATGCACAGTACTATGCAAGAAAACAAAAGTTAGTATCATGTACATACTTAAGTAGTCTGTATTGATTTCTCAAGTAAAAAAGGACTATAAATATGTAATTAACTGGGGTAGATTTTCAAAGGCAGAAATGGGAGTTCAATATCTAATTCTCATGGAGTTTCCAACTGTCCTTTGTGTCTCTGAAAATTCTCTCCTAAAATTTTAAATCAGTTTAACTGTTTAAGCAATCTGATTGCAGTTAGGTGTTTATAAAGTCTCTCTTGCATGGGCTTTCTGATATCTAATAAGGTGTGACCTCACACTCCAACCTCTACTTAGTGTGGGCAGGTTTTGCTTGCTTTTATCCAGCCAGCTTAAAACGTTAATGAATTTCAAATTTTCAGGCCACTATGCCTCTGTCAATATTTGCTAAAATCAGCTAATGAGATCAGAATGTTTTTGGGTAGTAGGAACAGTGAACTGTCTGCATGTGAGGTTCACACACAGAATACAATAGGATAAGCTACTTTTCCATAGGAAACTGCCAAAAAAAAGTTGGTCCTATTATAACATATCTTCAGGCAACACCAATGTGTGGGAACATTGTAATACGAGATTAACTGGGTACTGCTCAAGAATTACCAGCTGCAACATTACCAGCTTTACCTAACCTCCTTCTCATCCTACTGCCTCCAATCCTCTTTGGAGCCCTTGGAAATTGGATCAGGGAGCATAACATGCCTTTATTGCTCATCTTTCCTAAAATGCTTAGGGAAAGCATGGGCTTGTCTAAAGTTGCAATACCTTTCCAATACCATGGCCAACACCTATGTAATGGAGAACGTAAGCCTGATTTTCTTTCCCCCAGATGTCAATATGACTCCTGACCTTGACAAAAGAATACACTTCTCAGGCAACTAAAATTCACCAACATATTCTCTATATGGATAAATCTAAGCTACTCTGTGGAAGGTTCTATGCAACTACCTTGCTGGTAAGCAGTCTGTTTTTATCATACACATCAGTGTAATTCTGATAGGCAGGAAACAGGTTCTCCACAAGTTTGAGTTCTTCTTCATTCTCACTTATGTGACTCTGCAATAGGAAAACATACAGTGATGAGTATCCGCTTATGTTTAGCTTTAAATAACGATAAATCTGACGTTACAACCTTCTGAGCAATCTACTGGTTCTAAACGCATAATGATGGCTAGACACTAGTCTTTATTAAATCTATAGTTAGATTCAGTCCTTGAATGTTTCTACTTCCATCACAGAGATCTGTAGAATCCAAAAAGTAGCTGTTTTATTCCCTTCAAATTGATATGGGAAGGAATGCTTGAACAGTCCATCCCAGTACTATGGTGACATAAAGATCCACTTGCTATTTGGCAAATGTTAAAATAATAAATAAAAAAATACACACAACTGCAAGATAAAAGAAAGATACCAGCCTACCACAGCATGCACCCTGGGATCAGTGCAACATTAAGGGTAACTGCTCCACATATCTTCACATAGGCTGAGTAGTTCCTGGTCTCAGCTAAAAATCTGGCTCATTTTGTGCTCATTCTGTGCTCATTCTGCTCATTCCGTGCTGTCATTGGAGCATGTACTTCCTGTATTTTGAAAATGCCCTGCCTCGTAATGATAAATAATCTTAATGTGGGGTAGCTTTAGTACAGTATATACTTAGAATCAAAAAAAAACTTCTCAAAATTTTAATAGACCTATAAGCTTTTTTTAACCACAGAAACTTTATCACACAGTAAATCCTACATCTATGTTAACAATGTTAAATATGATACTTAATTGTTTTATGAAACTTAATTGTTTGTACTTAATTGTTTTATCTACTGAAATCTGCTTTGTGCAGAAACAGGAGGAGGCAGGGAGACAGATGTAACAAGCTTGGAATATGGGAGAGAAACCTTTAGCAACCTAAAGTTTGCTCTAACCTCAATACTTGCTGTTGGTCTCCTAGTAACCATGTGTTGGGGGTTGCTGAAATGTGGAGCCTTCCAGCTACGAGCTTTCTCATTCCCTGTGCAGGTCACAGTGATCTGGTAGAGGACCACTAATAATTTCAGAGGAATTTAAAAGACAGAAATGTAAAAGTTAAGAATGTAGTTTAAGTGCTTTGCTGAAATTATGAAAATTGCTTGGTCTGTATGCTTTCTATGCACAACATGTAAATTATACAGAGAGCTCAGAATTTACCTGCACATGGAGATCACGAGCCTGTGCTAAAATGCCAAGTGCACGCAGCAAATCCTCTGTGCAGGAAGGGCCAAAACGAGGAGTTACTATGGGCTGTACCCTTGGATACTGAAAGTATTAAAAAGACATGCTTGGGATTGCACATATGCATCAATAATCATAATAAAGAGCAGAATGAATGACAAGCATTTACATAACAATTAGATTTTGCCTGTATGGCTCATTCCTTGCTGCATCCTTTGCTGACATGAATAAATAATCTGTACAGTCATTTTCTGACTTTTATTAGAAACTTCATCATAGGAATAGAGAATCAAAGTTTTTTTACTAAATTCATTAACATTGTTTTCAGAAAAGAAGCTTTTTAATTAGAACTCTTTTCTTAATTCACTGAGATTTTACCAGACTTCAACAGAAGCACTGAATGCTTTCTCAATTTGCTGATGAAGTCAAGTGGGCATTAAGAGAGATGAGTCAGATGAATGAACAGACTTTTTCCTGAGTCCTGCTTCCATGAGCCTCAAAGAGAGAGTCCACAAGGAGAGGAAATGATGCAAAACTGCAGATTCTATAAAAACAAAAGCCTTTTCCTTGCTTGATCTTCTCCATGATAACAACAATCTGTCCTTACACTCCATAGACAGGAAGATTAGTGATAGGACCAGATATGCTATGCAACTAGAAAACAGTGGAAAAGATATCTAGACTAGAGCTGTAGCTGTTTACTTTACACTTTGCAATTCTGGATTATAGTTTTCATTAAAAAAATAGACAATTGCATTACTCCACCCTCACATACAGGCAATATTTCTTGTCACTGTGCATCTAGCACCACTAGAAGAAAGTACATGATAACTTGGTTTGCAGTTTCTTATCCCACCTCCCAGATACAGGATTTTGACAGATTACTCCACTAATTACTCCAATTTAGGCGCTAGACTCTAGGCTTCTATTCTTGAAAACCTTGAGATACAAATGTTAACAAATTAAGCCACAGAAAACAGAAGGCTGATGAGAAAAGAATCCCTGCTTGTAATATAGGAGTGTCAACCTGTATCTGCAGAACGTCTTTAGAAACACACTTGAATGCATGTGCTGATCCAAAATACTAATTTGGCAATGGATTAGTAACTGCATCGTAAAGACCTAGGAATCACAGAATGGTTTAGGTTGGAAGGGACCTCTGGAGATCTTCTAGTCCAACCTCCCTGCTCAAGCAGGGTCCTCTAGAGCATATTGCCCAGGAAAACCTCTGTTTTTGTTGGTGAGAAGACCTCCTTTTATTAGTCTACTTATATATACCACAGAGTGATGCATTGACTTCCACCTTTCTTTAACAGAAAATTTTCCTTTGTAGGAAGCTGAGCACTTTAAAGTGAATAAAGAACATTCACACAACATTATTCTGCTGTGCTCTGACCACACAAAACTGAATTTATACTGCTACAAGACCATTTCTCAACAACCTGGCTAGCAGAACAGTTTGTGCAGACTGAGAATTTCTGTCAGAAAGGCTTATTTTTATTGATTTGTCACTAAGCCAGTAGAGTTTGTCAGTGGGATTAGTAATTCCATATATTCACATAGCATTTTGTGAATACAGAAGTGAATACAAAGGAGACCTCTACTTACTTTCTTTTCTAGTAGTTCTTTAACAAACCTGAAAAAGGATAGAAAAAAAATCTGTTATAATTGTCACTTGTATTATAAATTAAGAAAAATATAGAAAATATTTATGTAGGCATTTTATTAAGCATATATCAATCTTATACAGAAAGTTGGGCCAGATTCTCAGATGAAACAAAAAGATGAAACACACTGAAGTTAGAACTGCACCAAATTATGCCAGTTGTGAATTTGACCCTAAATATGCAGAATTTTTTCATTTGTAATAATTAACCTTAGACATGTGATAATTACTCTGAGTTCTCAGTGGAAACCAAACACATTACATTAAATTCACTGAAAACATAATTGTATGCTACAGCAGCAACATTAGAGAAAAACACTTTAATTTGTCTGTACATGAATTTAAATCACAGCATTAAATGTATTCTATCATTTAAAGTCCTATTTTTTAAAAGATGCTGCAATATTTCATACCTCCTTTACAGTAGTCTCTATTCCTCCTTTACTTAAAGGATTCTTGATTTTCTAGAAGTGCTTATATTAATGTTAGTGTATAAACTATCTACCTCATGGAAAATACAGTATAGTTTCACATGCTTTGTTAAATAAAAGGAGCTACCCCAGAGACCCTCTACAAAAGCCTTCAAACAGTCAATATGTGTAATACAGATGAGCAAACAAAACTTTTTCTGACTTTGAAGAGAAAGAATACCCTGAAAACTTGTATGTGCCATGTATACAAAGAACTCTCAAAAGCTAGAATGAAAAGGTTTCTGGACAGGGTCTATGTATTTTTTTGGTTATAGTTTATTTTTAAAAAATGTAATTTTGGTCATAACAAATATTGGATCAAATTTGTCAAATAACTTCAGGTGGAAAGAAAATAATGCTAGATTCACAATATTGAAGCTGGTACCAGATCACCTGCTGGAAATAAGAGACCTAAGCTCAATTTCTGCCTATGACCAATGGAATTTGATCCCACCATTGCCTAACTTTGAGAGTCAAAAGGCAATGTGAATTAGGTTTCTGTTTGTCTGTCTCTCCTCTTAATGATTCACTTGATATAATAATTAATTCTGTTCACTGGAACAGAAACTAGAACATAAGCATTGCTCTCTCAGGTGATAATCCAAAACCTCAGAGTGGTTATTTTCATTCTTTTTCTCATTCATTAAAAGTATCAGCATTGTTTTGAAACTGAAAGACCTAGCTCAAAATACTCTACACCTTGTTGGTTTGTAGACTTCTCTAAAAAGAAAGATGCTCAGGTTCAAACCATTGCTATCTGTAGAGGAAGAACAGATTTGAACATGGGTCTTCCTCTTTCCAGATGACTGCTCTTATAAGCAGGATATAATGTGTTTTAGATTTCAATTATCTACCTTTATATTGATCCTCCTCTCAGAAGAAGGGTAGATTCAAATTCTTAATTTGATTTTAGATTAAATATACAAAGTACTTGAAATTGTATATTATCTCCATACATAAGATATAAATATTTCCATAGGTTGACTGTGAAGTACTGAAATCAGTGTAATCAATTTTGTGACACTGAGATAGATCACATCTATCTAGGTTCTTAAAAAAAAAAAAAAAAGAAGGGTGCCCCTCTTATGGAAAAGGAAGAGCTTTTTCATCCTTCTGTAATGTATTGGCGAGGTTCAGGCATGATGGAAGTGACTTCTCCTGACTCTGTGCACAGCGC